AATAATATATGATTATTTACCAATTTATTTTCATGAATACTATATATTATTTTAGACGAATAATTTGTAATAATCAAATAATTGCTTTATTCTTATTCGTTAAATAAGAATCAATAGTGTTGTTAAATGGCTCGTTTTGAGCTAATTTTTAAAAACGGCTAACTTGATATTTTAGCCAGAAAAATATTGCCTAAACCTCGAGATTTCGTTAGTATCTGTCTACTATTTTGTTCCCTCTATGAGCAAAATGTTCAGGCTTGCGTAGTATTTTTCTGGATGAAATATTGAGTTAGCCGTCTACTCAAAACGAGCCGTTTAACAACACTAGAATTGAATATTGAATAATTTGTTTTAGGATATTTTCAACTCATTACACTTGATTTTCTATAAAATTTGTATGGTGGCAGTAAATGTACCCAGTAAAAATACAAAGAAAGAAAGAAAGAAAGAAAGAAAGAAAGAAAGAAAGAAAGAAAGAAATAATAAATAAATAAATGAAAAAAGAAAGAAAGTACCAATTTTCATTGTCAAAATTATTATAAAATTTCGGTTCATTGCACCAAAAAGATTTCATAAAATTTAATTTTTTTTAAAAAATCCAAAATTACTTAGCAAAATAATTATGATAGCAGTTGGGTCTGGAAGACCTACAGTGCTCATCTGTACATTTTAATCAATTTGTGATAAATTAAATCAATTAGTGGCCAACCAATATTCTTCTACAAAAGAATACAAATTATTGTTGCCCAAAATCTATATATTCCACCCCTTATCGTTACTTTAAGAAATACTTAAAGAGAGACATAATTCATTGTTGATAATTAATTCCATATATTGCTGGACATTTATGGTTGGTAATCGTAACACGCTCTAAACGTTCAAGATTGACTAATTAAATAATTAATTGCTCAATCTTGTGTCGTCGCATCAATCTTTATTTTTTAACTCATTGAAATCTAATTTGAATAATGAATTTTTTTATTAATATCAGACTTTGCATAGAAATACGATTTTGTAGATTAAGATCATGCTCAAACAATTGTTAGATAATAATCCGGCAACACTTGATCCATTTATGTTTTATTATCATCCTTATGTTTACATTCGAATACATGTATTTCCTATCACATGACCTTTTCATACCCATAAGCTAATGTTTAGGCGACTGAAGTACTTTGCATCTCAACATCGCTATTGTTTATTGAGTAAGGGTTTTTCAAAATTTTGCCTAAAATGTATTTCAATATGGGGTAGAATTATAATAACTGCTCTATAGATTTGAGATAAATTTTGATATATTATATGGAAAGAGCGAATATAAAATTTATTCAGAATTTATCGTGAAATTATTCGAAATTTCCAGGGTAAGTATTTTGTATATATGGAAGAAATTTTAAGGTAAAATCAGATTTTTTTTTTCAGATTTAAAAAAGACGCTCACAATAAAATAATGATAAAAAAAAATAATACAACATTTCATCAAATCAAAACTATCCTATCTAATTATTTTATATTTACCCATATTATTATTATTGAAAGTCTAATCAATTAGCCTAGTATAAAATAATTATGTAGTAATTGTTAGGGGGGTTAGAAGCATTCATTTCTATGGGAAAATTATAAAAAGAAGTAAAACGTTACCAGATATGCCATTTTTCTAAAAAATGAGGAAATGCTCGTATAATTGATTTACTATCAGAAATAGTCAGGGCTAAACTTATTGAAGATCCAATTATATATGACATTCGATTAGTATATAGAAAGCATCGAGAAGATTAAGATCAATATCACATAGATTAATATTTATAAAAAACAATATATTATTAATATATTGTTTGATTAGATTATATTTATAAATTACATCTTATATTATGTTTTTCGAATTAAACTATAAATCTGTCTCTCCTATATCTATATTATTTATAATTAATTTACCAATGCGACATACTAACCTTCCTTGCTAGGCCTACATTCAGGATTTTAGGCTTATTTTTTTTATTGAATATATTGAGACATATGCCAAAATGTCGCAGGAAAATTGTATTGCGCTTATTTATATTTATAATCAATAAACATAGCTAAGATCACACAAAACAAATCCAACAACATTTATTTGTATAACGTTTACCTTTACATTGGAGAAAAAATTAGTTGCTATTTAGGCATATATAAATAATATGATATCTTTTCAACACATTCTTTGTTTATTATAATTTTATATAATCATTGACCAATATTCAAGGTTAAGTTACAAATCGACAAAAAAAATATACCTGGAAATACAAGGTTAACGTTTCAAATCTAATCAAAACACGATAATTAATTTTTAATATTTTCTGCGCACAATATCTTTTATCATTAAGGTCAAGAATTTTTTTGTGTAAATAATCATTTTCCTTAAATATGATAAGACTCGTTAATATTTAAAAAAAAAATTATAATATTACTTTTAAAGCTGAATTGAAAAAAAAGTTTATTTTTTTTTAAAAATTTATTAATCTAAAATTTTCAAGAAAATGATATTCATTCTATTTAGTGTTGTTAATCGGCTTAGCCGAGTCGGCTCGAAATGAGCTCACCCAAATTTTGGGTCGTTTTTTTCGACTCCAACTCAAAGTTTTGGTCGTTTTTTACGACTTCGACCCGAGTTCAAGCCGAAAAAACGACTTCGACCCAAAATATGGGTCGTTTTTTCGACTCCGACCCAAGTCCAAGCCGAAAAACGCTTGTCAGTTAATACAGCGTTAGCTATACTAAAAACTCGCTCAACAGGGGCGGATGAAGGGATTGTGGTGTTATACTTGATAAACAATTCTCTTAAAAGGGGGAATTTATTAAAAACATTTAATGTTTTATCCATTGTTTCAAAAAATTGAGCTATGTTATCATCCTCCAATCTGCCCTCTTCTTCCTCGTCAAATAGAGGGATATCTCGGAATTGACATTAAATAAAGATGTACCATAGAAAAGAGCCATTGTTATGATGGTTATTTTTGAACTTTTTTAAATAAAATAGATAAAAAAATATATTGTAGACATGTTAAATCAAAATTTCAGTGAAGATGTACCATAGATAAGTGACAATTGTCATAATCGACATTTTTGAACTTTTTAGAGTCTTTGATAGCAAATTGCTAAATATATATATATCTGAACATGCTAAATTAAAAATCTCAGTGAGGATGTATCATAGATAGGTGACAATTGTCATAATCGTTATACTTGAACTTTTATCAATTCTTTTAAGAAGTAGCTAAAAATATATATTCTAAACATGTTAATATTTAATATCCAGTGAGGATATATCATATATAAGTGAGCAATTGTCATAATCGCTATATTTTGAACTTTTTCAAATTCTTCGTTAAAGGAAAATAGCTAAGAATATATATTCTAAACATGTTAAATTTAAAATTCAGAGGATGTAATATTTTAAATCCTCAAACTTAAAAATATAATATGAATAAAACATAGGAGTTTATGTGATAGTTTATTTTCTAACCCAGTCTATGACAATAACATATTTAAGAATTTTATTATAAATTAAAATTACAAGAAATATATTAGCATCTCATTTTATCACTTAAAAATTATTATGTACCTAACTACTCGTATATATAATAACGATTTTTTGTCCCTTATTTATGATACATCCTCACTGAAATTTTAATTTAACATGTTTAGGATATATTTTTTAGCTATTTGCTTTAAAAAAATTAAAAAAGTTCAAAAATAGCGATTATGACAATTGTCACCTATCTATGATACATCCTCACTGAATTTTAAATTTAACATGTTTAGAATATATATTTTTAGCTATTTCCTTTAAAAAAATTGAAAAAGTTCAAAAATAACGATTATGACAATTGTCACCTATCTATGATACATCCTCACTGAATTTTAAATTTAACATGTTTAGAATATATATTTTTAGCTATTTCCTTTAAAAAAATTGAAAAAAGTTCAAAAATAACGATTATGACAATTGTCACCTATCTATGATACATCCTCACTGAATTTTTAATTTAAAATGTTCGGAATATAATATTAATTTTTCAAATAAATTAAAAATCAAAATAGTGTTTATAAAATTGAACGTATCTGTAATAATTGATCACTGCGTTCAATCAAATGAAAAGGTAACTTTTAGCGTTCACGTTCAAAGTTCAGTCAAAAAAAAATGGAACGCCGTTCATACACCTCTGTTTTAAATAACAGTTGAACTTATGTTCACGAACGCGTTCATTTTGAACACGATTTGTTTCAACACTATGATAAAGAATTTAATTAATATTTATAGAATATATATTTTTAGCTATTTCCTTTAAAAAAATTTGAAAAAGTTCAAAAATAGCGATTATGACAATTGTCACCTATCTATGATACATCCTCACTGAATTTTAAATTTAACATGTTTAGAATATATATTTTTAGCTATTTCCTTTAAAAAAATTGGAAAAGGTTCAAAAATAACGATTATGACAATTGTCACCTATCTATGATACATCCTCACTGAATTTTTAATTTAACATGTTCAGAATATATATTTTTAGCAATTTGCTTTAAAAAAACTCAAAAAAGTTCAAAAATGGCGATTATGACAATTGTCACTTATCTATGGTACATCTTCACTGAAATTTTGATTTAACATGTCTACAATATATATTTTTATCTATTTCATTTAAAAGAGTTCAAAAATAACCATCATAACAAATGGCTCTTTTCTATGGTACATCTTTACTTAAAAATCTTTAAAAAATAACTATGATGGAATAGTTAATCCAGAGCGTTATAATTTAAAGAAAATAAATTATAATATTACTTTTAAAGCTGAATTGGGAAAAGTTTATTTTTTAAAAAAATTTATTACTCTAAAATTTTCAAGAAAATGATATTCATTCTATTCCTATGCATATTAGTTAATATTAAAGCCCATCCAAGAGGTTTAAAGAAAATATAATGTTTAATTATATTTGTAATAGATATATCCTGTACAAATTAGACCGGGTAGTAAGTTGGATATATTTATATTTCGCGATCTGGTAGGTAGGAAAATAAAACATTATTTTTATAGATCGGAAATCAAATATATCATTTATAGGAATATTATTTGTCCGATTATTACATTCTTCACTTCAATTTTGTGCTAATCTATATAACTAGAAAACCGAAGTGGGTGATTTATAAATATTAGGTGTAATAGTTTAATTTAGGACTCGTCCCATATCATGGTATGGCTATATAATACAAATTCTAAAGTTTCTAGTATAGTTTTGATATTTTATTAAATAACTGCCATTTTAGGGACACAAACAACGTGATATATATGACGATCAATCAATCAATAATTTAATAAAGCATATCATTGTATATTATATCCGGTGTTCAAAATAGCTTATCGATAACTCGTTTGTAAAATGTCAAATATTCGATATATTTTTTTTGAATTCATTTTTATTTTAAGATCGGGGTGAATGGTTATAGCTCATGATATTAATTTTTAATGTGACATGTAATATTTTTGATTTCACATATTCATCTCAATAATTGAAGAGCATTTCAAGGTAAGCATTTTCTAATCACGATCGCTGAAATATATTTTTTTAAAGAAAAATTAATAATTAGTCATTCTTCTCCGGTGATGGTTAAGAATTTTTTTATAATTTAAAATTATAGCATTAGACTACACAAAACTAATTTTTTCTTTGATCAATAAGAACCTTGAAATTAGTGATTTAATAGCTCCTTTGGCTGACGAGTAGTGCTGTGAACTGCAGGGAGGGGATAGGAGGTACGCGCCTTTAATGGGGGTGGGATAATTATTTGGGGGGGGGTATCTATTAAATTTTGAGATGAAATAGGATAAAATATATTCCGGTAAAAATTAATACTTTTATTATGAACCTATTATAATACAATGTTATTGCTAATCATTCACCAAATCTATATATTGCAAACAATCATAATTTTTCAAATAAAACTTTCTGCTATCTTTTTAAATGTAATTTAAAGGAGTTTTTAATTGAATTCATTATTTAAAAAATAACTCCTTTATATTCACAAAATTTTGAGAGTTGGTAATAGAGAGAAAATAATTTAAGTTATTATTTTTAAAATTTCTGAAATATTATTATAATATAAAAAGGTGTAATTAATAAAGGGGAAACATCGGCGCCCGAAGGCAGCAAATTACTTTTAGAGAGGTAGGCATAGGTTTTTAAGGGGGGTTTGCTTCCGGTGAAAATCCAGTCATGTAGATGCTGCATAAGTCTGGAGATTTTGCTCCTGGATAACAAAACGGTTAGGACATTAACGAAATCTAGAGGTTCACATAATATTTTTGAGCAAAATATGTTATACATTTTTAAAAATTGAACCATTTCACAGCATTGTTGACGAGTTTGATTAAGGATTATGCTATCTTCGAAGGAACAGTTTGTTGAAACCACGATAGGTATAAATATATTGTTTTCAATTAAGTGCCAATATTTATGAAATCTTATTTTAGCGATTCCTATTATTTATTAATAGAGGGGCAAAAATGTCTCTGCATTGATGTCCTATTACATAGATTACCCCATATCCAAGGGAATTAAGTATGTCCATCAAACAGCTAATTATTTATGGACTTTATATATTTGTATCTGTAGACCTGCCAATAAAGTAAATACTTAGCTTTAGAATCAACTAGTCAACATCTTTGACAGTTGTAAGGCTAAAATATGTTTAAAACGCTCGATTGGAAGACAAATATTTGATCTATTCATTTGAAATTAGATAAACAAGATTTTGTTTTAACAATGTTTTTATGCCTGTAGATCCTCTTATGGGTCACCCAAGAAAGGAGATTTTATCTTTAATTATCTGAGCAAAAAAGATAAATAACAGGAGTAGAAAATTTTAAAGTTGAGTATATTTCACAGATTTTATAATATAGGGTTAAGTTTAGTTTTTAAAGGGAAGGCAAGGGGAAATCACAAATTTCCTTTCCTTTCCTTTCCTTTCCTTTCCTTTCCTTTCCTTTCCTTTCCTTTCCTTTCCTTTCCTTTCCTTTCCTTTCCTTTCCTTTCCTTTCCTTTCCTTTCCTTTCCTTTCCTTTCCTTTCCTTTCCTTTCCTTTCCTTTCCTTTCCTTTCCTTTCCTTTCCTTTCCTTTCCTTTCCTTTCCTTTCCTTTCCTTTCCTTTCCTTTCCTTTCCTTTCCTTTCCTTTCCTTTCCTTTCCTTTCCTTTCCTTTCCTTTCCTTTCCTTTCCTTTCCTTTCCTTTCCTTTCCTTTCCTTTCCTTTCCTTTCCTTTCCTTTCCTTTCCTTTTCCTTTCCTTTCCTTTCCTTTCCTTTCCTTTCCTTTCCTTTCCTTTCCTTTCCTTTCCTTTCCTTTCCTTTCCTTTCCTTTCCTTTCCTTTCCTTTCCTTTCCTTTCCTTTCCTTTCCTTTCCTTTCCTTTCCTTTCCTTTCCTTTCCTTTCCTTTCCTTTCCTTTCCTTTCTCCTTTCCTTTCCTTTCCTTTCCTTTCCTTTCCTTTCCTTTCCTTTCCTTTCCTTTCCTTTCCTTTCCTTTCCTTTCCTTTCCTTTCCTTTCCTTTCCTTTCCTTTCCTTTCCTTTCCTTTCCTTTCCTTTCCTTTCCTTTCCTTTCCTTTCCTTTTCTTCCCTTTCATTATATTTGTTTTCTTATAAATTTTAAATATTTGCGATTATAATATATGAAATTTCAATTTTCATTATATTTAAATGTATATTTTATTAAAGGTTCAACGAAATATATCTTGTTAGAAATAACAATTCAGTAATGTCCTATATCGAAGGGAGTGATAGGGAGTTAGATACATATTCAACAAATAATATCACCAATAAAACGTTGATTTTATTTGAGAAGCTTGAATTATTGAACCTAATAAAGTTGAAACAACTCAATCTAACATTCAAAATTCAAGCTTATGTTAGTAGTAATTACTTGTATATTACATTTTAGTAACTTTTGTTAGATCGAAATTGGCTTGAATAGCGTGTTGGCGCTAATTTCAAAGTATGTATGTTACCGTTAAATAGTAGCATATCATATGTATGCTTGGAATTCGTAAGAGCAAACGTGAGTTAAATTTTTAAGAACAAGATGTAAGACCAAAAGAAAAAAGGAAGGAAGGAAGGAAATGAGGAAGGAAGATGAAAAGGTGGAACTCAATATATTTTTGTTTATATTTATATATATATAGGTAAGAATAAGAATTAACAAACTGAATGTAACGATGATAGTAATACATCAGAACTACAACAGTTCAGCTACATATCAAAATCATATAGTATACTACTTCTCATGGAGTCTACCAAATGAAAATTATTATCAATATCATTATACAGGTGGAATATACAATATATCTTCTATTCTCAGCTTCTGCATTTAAATAAATGCTACAATAATAAACAAAATAATTAGATATTTTATATTTTACTGATATAGGTCAATTATACCTATACATTTATAATTATTTTTACTCTAATAAATTATGAAAGACTATCAATTTAACAATATTAAGTAATACCTGACATGACAATTTTCTATATGATTTAGACACTTGTTTTAATTATTAAACTTTTATATTATTTTTATTCAAATTAAATAATGAATCGTTTAAAAGAATATAATATATATTACGTTAAAGATCATGTTTCGCAAGCATTTGAAAGAATATAGAGATTTGTTTTAAAAAAGAGCGACTATATATGAAATAAACCTTACCCAAAATTAATAAATATATGAATATGTTATAAAATAAATAGAAAGGGTCGACAGACTATGGATTAGGTTCTTAATATTATATAGTTCAAATATTTTGACGGTGGTAAAACTCATTTTTAAGAAAGTATGGATTAGGGTATCACGTCAATTCGGCGCGGAAAATTCGGCGCATATTTGGCGCGGCTACATTTCAGTGCGGCGTTAATTAGGCGCGGCGACAATTCAGCGCGTATCTATTACAGTTGCAATTTATTATATATTACTTAGTATAAAAAAATAAGGATGATTAAATAAAAATCATTTTGAATGTTTGTCCTATCAATTATTCCTCATATTTATATTACAAAAATCTCAATTTTATTTACTAAATGTGTAATATAAAAAAAATTTACAACCAATATTTATACCTATTTCTTTGGTTGACCAATTTATCACATAAGGTATGTTGATTAGTAGCCAATGTTATGTAAGTTGAGATTTTGGGCATATTACTTATCAGGGGGTTATATTATTTTTTTAAACTTTTATAATTTTTTTTTTTATTGTCTAAAATTAATAAGGCGTGAAAAGGGGATTAAGATTTAACATTATAGTGATTATCAGGGGGGTATTTTGGGTCTATTTTTAAAAACGGTTGATTAAGATTTTAGCCAAAATAATATATAAGATTAGAGATAGAGGTCAAATCTTTATTTTCTTTTTTCCTTATATGCGCAAAATCTCCAGGCTTAAATAATATTGGCTACTAATCAACATACCTTATAATGTGGATAAATTGGTCAATTAAAGAAATAGATATAAATATTAGTAATTTTTTTTTGATATTACACATTTAGTAAAAAAAATTGAGATTTTTGTAAGAATAAATATGAAGAAATAATTAATAATACCAGCATTCAAAATTTCTATTTAATCATCCTTATATTTTTATAATAAGTATTATAATAAATTGCAACTGTGATAGATACGCGCCGAATTGTCTCCGTGACGAATTGATGCCGTACTGAATTGTCGCTGCGCTGAATTCACGTGGAACCATGGATTAGATTCTTAATATTTTATAGGCATCTATTCAAATATTTTGACGGTGGTAAAACTCATTTTAAGATCAATTTTTTGCCAGGCTGTTAGGTAGTATAGTATTCGTGAGGTTGTTCCCTATAAAATAAAATATAACAAAAAAATTATAGCGAATATCTTTGAAACTCATAGGATATAGGTATACTTTATACATAAATACAATTCTGGCAAAACTATTACAAGATTTAAGAAAGTGCGCAAGTATGGTTTAATTTTTCATAAATTTGTTTAAAACCTGTACAGTTATGATTAATTTGATATAATTGATATTTAACTTCTTTAAATTAATTTTGAAAAGCCAAAATAAAGAGCTCGTCCGAAATAATTTAAGTTTTTGTAAAAAATTTTAGTATATAATAGTAAAATTAATTTTAAAAATATGTTAAACAATATAGTAATTGTAAAAAATAAAATAGATCTAAATTCTTGTTAACATTTTAGAGATAAGAAAACTGGCTACTCGAGGTAATTTCCGATGGTATTGTGGAAACATCTAGACGTTATAAATGACCTGTCGTACGATCATTTAAAGAAATATTGTGTAAGAGGAAGAGATTAATTATTTGATAAACTACAATTAGCTGTATATAATACATATAAATAATAATAT